AAGAAAAATCATCAGAGAGGGTGCAGGAAGGATTCACAAAAACAGTTCGAAGAAGTGAGATGGTTTTCAGTGACACGTACAGATGAAAAATTGAGACTCTTCCCTTGCAGAAGAAAAAAGTGAAGAAGAGAGAGGAGGTTTGATCAGAGGGTTGCAAACCATGAAGAGCCTGGAGAGAGCAGAAAGGGAGACCCTGATTCCAGTCAGCGAGGGGATTGAGAACCAGAGGGCACAGTTTTATTATTGGCAAAAAATGCTACAGATACGTGAGGGGGAAGGTCTCCAGGCAACAAAGGGTTAAGAGGTGGAATGTGCTGCCTGAGAGTGTGGGGCAGGCCAGTTTCAGTCAAGGCTTTCAAAAGAGAACTGGATCTTTAATGGAAAAGGAAGAACGTGCAGGGCTACGGAAAGGCACTGGGGAGTGGCATTAAGTGAATTGATCCTTGAGAAGGTCAGCACCAACACAGCAGGCTGAATGGCCTCTGTGCTGTAAGCATTTGGTGATTAATTTTAAAAAGAGAATTTAATAAAGATTTGAAAAGTTAAAAAATAAATGTCATGGTTATGAGCAAAGAACACGAGAAGTCAAACAGCTAGCACGAGGGGTATAAATGGCCTCGTCTCGTCCTTGTGTTTCTCAGACTCAAACCCAAATTCATGGCTTAAAATGAGACATGAATCTTCCAGTGATCAGGGATACACTCATGGCATAAACTCACATTGCTTGTTTCAAAACACAATCTGCAGAAGGCTCTAGGCCCAAAACATCAGCCTTCCTACTCCTCGGCCTGCTGTGTTCATCCAGCTCTACACCTTGTTACCTCACTATGCTCCCTGGCCATGGATTGACAATTTAATGCAATGGATTGACAAGTTAGCCAGGCCCATTGACCTGTCCGTCCTCCCTGGACTGACCTATCCCCTTCCTAACTCCCCACCTACACTCACCTTTACTGGCCCCATCCCCGCCTCTTTGACCTGTTTGTTTCCTCTCCACCTATCCTCTCCTCTATCCCTCTTCTATCCGCCTCCCACTCTCTCCCTATTTATTTCAGAACCCCCTTCCCCTCCCCCTTTTCTGATGAAGGGTCTAGGCCCGAAACGTCAGCCTCTCTGCTCCTATGATGCTGCTTGGCCTGCTGTGTTCATCCAGCCCTGCACCTTGTTGTCCCATATTTATATATTCCTTTAAAATGAATAGACTTATTATTCGTCACAATTCCTTTCTCCTGTAGCATAAAACTCTGCCACTCCTTAACAACAAACCCTATCAAAGATACAGCAGTGACCCAGATAATGGTGGGGTGGGGAGTGGGGGGGTGGTGGTTGGAGAGAGGGGTTTGGGTGGGGGGAGGGGAAAGAGAGAAAGAGAGAGAGAGAGACAGAGGTGGGGAGAAAGACACAGGGCGGGGGGAGACGGTCGAGAGAGGGGGCGGGGTCGAGGTGGCCGGTCGAGAAAGGGGGGTGTCCGAGAGTGGGAAGGGGTCGAGAAATCGAGAGGGGTCATCGGCGGAGGGGGGGTCCGAGGGTCCGAGGTGAGAGAGGGAAACATAGGGAGAGCAAAAGAAGGAGAATTAGGGTGAAAGAAAGAAAGATTGAGAGATATTTAGCTTTGTATTCAATGAAATTAATTACAGACATGAAAAGATGACTCACTGAGAAGTGTTTGCAACCATTAAATCAGTGATGCTGACAGTCTCTCTGATCAGTTAGTCAGCCATTGGTTAGATAGCCAAAGTGTGGGTGAAGAATAAAGCCAACAATATGGGATCATTCTATATAGTAGCTGTGGTATTTCATGGTGAACCTGCCACCTCACCTTACCCCACGCTTCTGCAGTATTCCCCTTAATCACACATAATCTAATACCACAGGTCATGCATTTCAGGTGAGAGGGCCGAAGTTCAAAGGAGATGCGAGGGGCAATTTTTTTTTTTTAAAAACAGAGAGTGGTAGGAGTCTGGAACATGCTGCCAGGGGTGATGGCGGAGGAAGATATGTTAGGGGCGTTTAAGGGACTTTTAGATAAGGACATAAATAAACAAGGAATGAAGGGATATGGACGAAGGGCAGGCAGAAGGGATTAGTTTCATTTGATATCACGTTTGGCAGAACATGGTCGAAGGGCCAATTCCTGTGCTGTACTGTTCTATATTCTATAACCAACTGTCTCTCTCTAATGGGGAGAGATGGCGATGGTCTTTTATACACTAACGCTCCATATCATTCCCAGCTTGTGTTCATGTTGAATCAAATCTCAACCAAGCACTCAGCATCCAAACATGACGGACAGACAAGTTGATGAGACCCTGATCACTTTGAACATACATGGCAGTGGGTAGCGTACTCTCCTCTGAGTCAGAGGGTCGTGAGTTCCAGTTTCACATCAGTGACACAGACAGTAAATCCAAGCCAACCCTCCTGGTGCCATACTGGTGGAGTGCTGCACAGTTAAAGATGCAGCTGGTCAGATCAGACAAAGCCAAAGTCTTGTCTCGCCTCTCATCTCAAGGAGGAGCAGTGCCGTTTTCCCTGGTGCCCAAACCTTATCCAATGGGAGGTGGACTCAGCACTTTCTCCATCCACGAGTTTGCAGGATGCCCAGTGAGAAATGATCTGGTCAGAGTCGCCATTATCCCACAGAATGGCTTGGATGGGGCACATTTCTCTGTCACGTGAACAAATGGCTCAGACCCTATGTAAGATGTTACCAATAAGGCCAATTGTATACTGTATGCAACCGTAGGAATCCAATGTGTAAACTGACCAGTGAAGGTCAGTGTGCAGTAAATTGTAATTGAGAAACCCTGGCCAATTTCTGAACTGGGACATAAAGGGGAGGCAGACCATTTGACTGATCCATTTCAAAAGGTGAACTTGTGGCTAGGGTGATGAAAGGTCATTCTGAAATACAGCTGCAGATTCAAAGATAACAAATGTATATCTACAGTTTGGAAATACAGCAGGAGGTGGAGGTTAGGTATCATTCCATCAAAAATGCATGGAATCCAACAAAGATATTTGTGAGAACTGGGCCTACAGGGGCTCCCATTGCAACAGCATTTACTTGCGCACACATGGTGTCATTAAACATTAACTCAGGAATGGGTGCAGTTGAGTTCAGAAGTTCAGAATTCTGATTTATACAATGCTAGTGGGTCTAGATCACTATGCTATAATGAAGCAGTACAGATGGTTCTGGCTTCCTGAAGTGGTACATTGGGGAATGGGTTCATATTAATGTGTAATAAATTATGTTACTTTAAGCTCAAAGACAGTTGTAAATTTTGCCTTCTCTTCAACCAGTCTGTCTTAAACCCAAAGTGCACAGAATTGGTACAGCACAGGATGGAGGCCAATCAGCCCATCGTGCCTGCACTCACTCATCAAATGAGCATCATTACCTAGTGCCAATCTCTTGTATTGCCCCTGTACAACTGCACACTATTACCATCCAAATCAAAGCCCAATACCCTCTGAATGGAGCCTGCCTCCACCATATCTCCAGACAGTTCATTCCAGACCCCAACTACTCGCTGTGTGGTGAAACTATTTCTAACGTTACCTTTGCTTTGTTTGCACATTTTATATTTGTGCCCTTCACGTTCTTGTTCCTTTTATGAGCAGGAACAAAATGGAAGCATCAATTGTCAGGGATGGCTGTGGGGAGGGTTGCAGGGGGTCAGTGAGGAGTTACAAATCAGCATGGCTTCGGCCTCTCCGACTGGCTTCATCACTGCTATTGAGCTTCACTGTCCGTACCAAGGACCGAGCTTCTCACAGAAGCTCGAGTTTACAAACAAAAAAAGTGAAAAATAAACTTTTTTAAAAATAGCGTTAGTGTCCCTCGAGTGAGAGCCAGGCTAACCTCTGATCACCTGGGAGATATCAGCACAACAGCAGAAAACGATGGGCAGCTGACCGCATTCAGTTCCCCATGAACCAGGAGACAAACTGAAGGCAGGAGTCTGCCAACTTTGAAAAGAATGAAAGTCACTTGTGGGGGCTGTTGAAAATTAATTAACGTCGTAAAAGATTCATAGAAGCCTCAGAGCAACTACAAAGCAACAATCTAACTTAGGAGTTCAAATAACATCGTAAACACAAGAACAAAGCTTTCCGTGTACTTTGAAGTCTATTTTTGGCATCTAAATACCAAGGTGATGCCATTCTGAGAATGCACATAACTTTAAAACCAGAGCTCAGGAGAAAATTTAAAATGTATTCTAAAATCTCAGGCTGCTAGATTGGATGGAAGATGAAAAAGGCAACGGTAGATTTTCTAATCACAAGATTTTACAGCTCAGGTGGAGTCCATTCTACCCATCACACTCACACTGGCCTCTGAGACGATGCAGGAAACAGATGGCTCCCTCAAACTCTATGTTATATATTCCCACTCTCTTTCCCACACATTCTCAATTTTTGTCCATTTTCTCACCTCTAATCCACATGCGGAAGATTTAGAAGGCGTACATTTTATGCAAATTACTGAAGGCAACAATATGGCAATAACCTATATTTATGTAGCACATTTAAAGTAACAAAATGTCTTGAAATGCTTCATAGCAGCATGATAACACAAAGTATGACACTAAACCATTTAAGGAAGGATTATAAACGCAAAAGATGACAAAGTTGGAAACATGCAATGAAAGACAAATATATGTTGGAGAAACACAGGAAATCTGGCAGCATACGTGGAGAGAAGAACTGAGATAATGCTTCACGTCTAAGACTTTTCATTAGACAACAAGGTGTACAGCTGGATGAACACAGCAGGCCAGGCAGCATCAGAGAAGCAGGAAAG